CTCGGCACGTCAAGCGAGACGACACTGCCTGCGCGCAGGGACTCGAGGGCGTGCGGAAGTCCCGGTACCCAGGGGCCTCTTTCCCAGCCTGCCTGAGTCGCGGCGTTTTCCCCAGGGGTTTCGGGGAGCGCAGGCTCCGTCGCCCCGGTTGCGACCCCTCTGCGTCGACGGCACTGCAGCTGGAGACGGATCGGGGACCGCCGCTAAGGAAGGGAGAGCGGACGCAGCGTGCAGTGGGAAGGCGGGCCGTATCTGGAGAGCGAAGGCTTTTCCGTTTGCTGCAAGGGCGTGTGCGCCCGAAGCGAGCGTGTTTGCAGGAGAGAAGGCGAGATTACATCTCCTCCTCTTCTTTCCCCCTTTTCATGCGGCAGCTCGTAATAAATCTTCTGCACATAACACCCGATATCTCGCCTCCTTAAAATCCCAGCACGATTATCTTATCTCATTAAAGCCAGGCCAAAAATCCTTTCTGTTCCGCAAAGACGCTCGTGCCAAGTGCCGGGGTGCGGATGCGTCGCAGCAGAGAGGAGCGCCGAGGGTGGAAGGCGCGCGGTCTGCAATGCAGACGTTTCCTCCAGAGCTGGCGTCGGGCCGGGGAAGGCGAGGGACGGTCGGCCCCCGGATTAATCGTCTCGTAGCGGCGCTTTCCTACGCGTGCCGGGATAATTTTTCCCCTGGCGTGCGCGAGCAGCGTTTAATCGCTTGTGAGGGTGTTTTGTCCGTTCCTGTAAGCGGAGAGGGAGCCCTTCCCCGTACAGGTGACCAGGTCACTCGGTTCATGCTTCAGGTGCAGCGCGTTTGCTCGACGGCTGCAACGTGCCGTACGCTGGCTCGGAGAGGGCGGTATTGCAAGGAAACTGGGATTTCTGTGACCGGGAGCAGCGCTGGCGGAGCTCGCACAGGGGAGGCTGCCCACCAAGGGCCAGCAGTCTCCTTGGGTGGCTGCCCGATTTTCGGAGCTGTCCTTCCGGAGCTCCGCCGCCCGTAAAGGTGCTGCCCTTCGGGTGGCTTTTTGTCATCAGGGAGCGTGAGTGCGGGTCGCTTCGGGCCGGCCCTGCGGTTACTCGGCGCCTTACCTGTACGTGTGCAACGGTGTTCAGGTCAATTAATTTATATTTGTATTTTGCAAAACCAAAAGTTGCCCGGATAGATTATCGATTCCTCGTCCCCGTGTTCAATTTGGTTTTAATTGCGCTACTGCGGGGCCAGACCTTCCCTCCTAGCAACCCTGCGATAAATCTGCCAGTGACTCGCAATCAACAGTAAATGTGCCTCTTTGTGTCGTTATTAATATGTCTCTGGGATTGGTTCATTAAGGCAGTTAACAACGGTTTGTAAGAGCGTAGCTGGCAGGAAGCCGGAGGATCTTCTTGCCTTGTTCTTGGTTGCGGCGGCCACCTCGTCGCGACAGGACGGCTGCTTGCAGGCACGGCGCGCGTGTCCTGGTGTGTGTTTTGGCGTGTCATCGACAGAGCCGTGAACGCGGAGATGCCTGGCGTGCAGTTAACTATAAGTCGAATATGAGCCGCCTAATCCTCTTATTTACTGGAAGCAACCCGAAAGGCGAATGCTGTAGGGCGCAGGACTTCTCTGTCGCTCCCTCCCTCCCTCCTGAAGAGAGAAAGCCCAGGCAGACCCCAGCAGGCAAACCGAGGTGAACGGGAGGGGCGCCCGCGTGGCAGAGCGACTGTGCTGGTACTGATGACGCCGAAGGAGCTATAATTTCTCTGTGGGAGCAATTAGTCGAAAGCAGAGGCTTTTGCGTGCACAGAGCTCTGGATGAACGCGGTCAGGACCCGCGGCTCTCTGGAGAGAGGCGCGAAGGCGAGGGGGCTCCGGGCCGAAGGGACGGGCGCTCGGGATCTCGGGGAAGCCCTCCTGCCCCCGGATACGGCTTGTGCCGAGCCGCCTGCCCGTACGCTTGGATGCGTGAGCCCGCGGAGGAGAGCCGGGGTACCGCTCCGCAGCGCCGTCCTCTGCGAGGCGAAATCGTTTTGGAAGAAAGAGCGTGGTAGACAGTAGCCCTTGGCAGGCCGGA